CGCCCGCCGCGGCGGCCCGCTAACAGCCGCGCCTAATATTCGGACCCTCCCGCGTGCCGCTCAAAGCAGAAGACATCCATGGTCTTACCGTTGAATGACAGCCGCCAATCAAAAGCGTACCTAATGGGGTGGCCTCGGCGGACAGGAAGTTGGCCGAAAGCAGTCGCCGCGGCAACAGAGACGCCGCGCCCATGGCCGAGGCCCACTCAGGAGGAGGCGCCGGGCCGTTGGCGGCCGCTGCGTGGAAACACACACGCGCGCGCACACACACACACACGTGAGACAACACACAGGCGCACATTCAACACGCACGGCGGGTTTGGACGTACCAGCGGCCACCGCGCTGCTCTGCGACGTCATCAGGCCGGCCGCCGGACGCCAGACATCGAGACGCTTGATGAAAGAAGAAGACGAAGACCGGTTGGGGTGCTTCTTCTGATGAATATCGAGCAGGCGGCTCCTTTGAGCCGGCCGGCGACCGCGCGGCCATCGCGAGCCGCGTCCCATCAGCACCCACCCCCCCCCCGCGCGCGGCGGTCCGCATGACTGGACGGCAATTAGGGCGAGCCGGCGCCCTCGGGCGGCTCATTTGCAGCGGCGGCTGTCGGCGAACGGCCGGCGAGAACGCAAAAGCCAGAGCGCCACCAATTTGTCTTCTTCCTTCCTGTCCCGGGGGACCAATTGCGTAACGCGCGCTGCGGGGGCGGGCTTTTGGGAGGCTTTTGCAGCAAATGGCCACCGTTTTCCTCATGATAGCGCCGCATAGCAACAGAAATTTGGGGGAAGCATCCCCGCCGCAACGGTACATGCACCGTTCTGTCTCCAACGTCGACCGCAGCCTCTTCCCGAAACGCGGAGCCGTCTTTTGGCCATTCGACGAGTGAGGCGAGAGAAAAGACGGCAAGCGCGGCCGCGAAAGCGAGCGCTTGTCACCGTCCGCAAAGCCGAGCGACCTTTTCAATGCCGAGGCTCGGAAGGCCGACGCGCCGACCGCTAGCGGTTCATTTCCCGAAGGGGCGTCACTCCGATCGCGCTTTTCCTCCCTCGGGCACTGGAAGCGCTAGACGTCGTCACCTCATCCACCCGTCGACGCCGCAGCATCGGGAGCGGCCGGGGCCTCGCTCTCGCGCTCCGGGACGCTCGAATGCGGTCGCGATGGCCGGGGATCCGCCCGCCAACCGCCGCTTGCCCACTGAGCGCGCCGCGTGTTGAGCTGTCATCCCGTCGCCGTCAATCAAACGTCTGATTGGTTCTCTTGATGAGTAGCGCGCGCTCTGTGAGCAGTGAGGTCACGTTAACTTAGTCGCGAGGAGCTCGACAGAACGAGCTCGTCGGCCGATTAGCGCGTTAGCGCGTAGCCCGCCAACATTTCGCTCATTGGCTTGCGGCCCGGTAGCGAGCGACGTTTTCGCCGGTTGGCGTCAAGCTGGTGACGGCAGATATGAGGACGCGTTAGCTTGTGAGCATTGGGCTGAAACGATTGTTTGACGCTCACATCCTGCTGCCGAAATGCCGCCCGAATGCCAGAGGGTGTCACTTTCAAAATAAAAGCGGCGGATCGGGCCGCTCTCCACGAGGATCGGGGAAAGGTTTCCATTTGGGATATTGGGACGACGTCGCCAAAAGCCGCAAAAGGGGACGAGCGATCACAACGCGGAATGCCGGCAAACGGCAGAGAGCAACGCGGCGCCCGAGAAACGAGTCGAGCGCAAGAAGACGCCAACGAGCGACGGCCGCTCGGCGGGAGCGCTTGCCCGCGAGGGCGGAAGAAGAGTGACGGCGGCCCCCAGCGTCTGGCCGATGACGGCCGCCCGAAGGCGCGCGCGAGCGCGGGCAAACGCAAACGCGAGCGCGCGCGACAGTCGGGAAGAGGAGAGGACGCGTCAAGGTCGAGCGAGCTCATCCGTCATTCCTCCCGCGAGCGCGTTGCGGCCGAGCGGAAGAATCGCGACGCGGTTCCAAATCCTGCCGTCGTGAATGTCGGGGGGGCTTTTGTCATCGTCGTGGAAGCGGTCGTGCTGGAGGAGGCCTTTGAAAACCAAAAACGCTTCTTTTCAGTTTTGGCCACTGATTTCCGCTGAATCCGCAAAGCCTTGACGACGGCGCTGTCATTTTCAAATTCAATTCCATGCCAGTCTCGTATTTTCATTGGATTTTTTTGGGGGGGGGAAACAATCTTGATTTGGGGACGGAGCTGCGAAGAGGCGCACCAACAATCGACGGATTCACTGACAACGAATCAACCAGCGTGCTTTTGAATGGATGACTTGATTTGAAGACATCGTTCGGTCGAAAAACGCTCCGAATTTCCGCCTTGCCATCGGAAACCATCGGGGATTTGGCGGGCCTCCGCCAAAGCGGATTGCTCACATTTGTGTTGTTTGGGTTTGTTTTTTCGCCCCAAAACAAAACAAAACATTTGCAAACAACTGATCAGAGATGGCCAAAGCGGATTGCTTGCATTTGTGTTGTTTGGGTTTGTTTTTTTCGCCCCAAAACAAAACATTTGCAAACAACTGATCAGAGATGTGAACATTTTCCGTGAGGGGGCGCGAAAAACATGATTTGTCTTTCTCAAACGCTTCATGTGGAAGGAAAAAAAGCCCCCCCAGCTGGCAACATAGCAGCGGAAGCGGCGCATCCGTCAAAGCCCGATCCCGACACCGACGGTTGGACTCGGGGAGGGGGAACCTCGGAAAACGAGCGGGACCGCACGCGCGTCTGCAAATGTCCAAACGGCGGCGCCGCGGTTACGGCCATCCCCCCCCTCCCCCCTCCCCCTCGGCGGTTCGGACGGACGGGCGCGGCTTTTCGCTTCCTCTCTGCGTCCCAATATTTTTGCAAATGGTAATGATGTCATCACATCGCGGTCCTCCTCACCCTTCCGCGGCAGTCCGGCGGCGGCGACGCCTCCTCCTGCGAGGACAGAAAACGACGGCGGGGGCATTGAGGTGGAAGCTGGGGGAATACACGCGCGCGCGCACACACACGCGCGCAAGCTAGCGCATCCACTTGGAGCTGCGCCATATACGGCCGTGTTCTGTGGCTCACCCGCGGCGCACGGCCCAAACCTTTTTGGCGTGTGTGAGGAGCCCCAAATGAGCAAATAGAAATCATTCGCTTCCCCTCAAACAAGAAACGTTTGCCTTGAAGCCCTGCCGATCACGTTTGGCCTCTCGCGGCGGCATACGAAGGCACGTTGGCCATTTCGATGCCGGAGAGGACAGGAAAAGACTCGCTTTCACTTGACGACAAGCAAACGGATTCGCAAGGACTCCAAAAGAGCAAACGCATCCGCAAAAAAAACTGGACGGATGCCCTCGGAAGGGAGGGGCCGAGGAGAGCCTTCCGCCGACCCGGGTTGTCGTTAGCGCGTTGCTATCTTGGCAAAAAAGTGCACTTTGTTCACCATTTAACCTGAAGACAAAATTGAAGGTGTGGATTTGGCGGGGTTTTGTCGTTTTTGACCGGGTCTTGTTTGTCAGCAAAAGTGCATTTCGGAAACCATTCCAACTCGGCAAAAAGGGAAACAAACATCGCGTGCGGAATCGGGCTACGGGTCCGGACAGATTGGCAAGCTTCAAAAGACGTCCAAGATGAGCGACGGTATTGCCCTGAACACAAAAAGTCAATATCGCCCAAGTCTGAAAATTGTAGTATCACCATTCGCCGCTAGATGGCAGACATGGCTGAGTTGCGCTCACACAAAAAATAAAAAACAACAAAAAATACAGAAACCTGAATGTGAAGCCCTGCCTCGCCTTCATTTCCTTCCAATCTGTCTTAAAGTGTCAAGCTAGTGATGCTAATGCTAAGCTAACTTGCTCCTGTTTGCTCACAGCTCGGGTGCCGCCGCCGTGTGAGTACGGCTCGTTTGTTTGCGTGCCCGTGATGCAAATGAGGCAGCGAAATGCCGGCTGTGATTTTTCAAACCAAAAGGTCGGCGCGCCGCCTTTCCCGTCACCCGCTGCTAACGAGCCGCAATGTTGGCGGGG